ATTACTACTGTTTCCTGGTATGTTAGAACAGTATGTTTTAAATTTACAACAGTATTTATGTATAAAGCTATGAATTTGTGTCTGTTTGCGCAATAAATAATTAAAAAATCAAAAAATTTAGACAGTAGTAATGACTCTTTTTATCCATTCCAAAGTGTTTAAAATAGGATTTCCTGGTGTGCAAGTGAAAATATAAAAATTTGAAAATACAGTGAAATACCATTTTACTGAATTGTATCATAGCTTGTTAGATTTTTTTTATATGAATAAAAAATTATTAATATAAATCGAATCCGGAAATTTTAATTTAGATTTTACAACGCCTTTTTCAAATTTTGAGAAACTCGCGTTCGCGCTTTTTCTATCGACTATTTGTTGAAGCGAACAATCTAATGTTAAGTCAATAGAAAGCTTTCGCTATCCAACCAGGACCACGGTTGCCACATTTTGATGATTTCATCTTGTTTGAGAAATGTTTTATTAAGTGATATATACGGGGGTGTGGGCGGTCGGGCTTTTAATATAAGCGCGTTTGACGAATTTTGAAGTTTATTTGTGACAATTTTCGATAAAAGGTAACCTATGTCACGTAACAATGTTAAAAATGGTCAGGACTTGGCATTAAAGTTGAGATTAATGAGAGTATTATTTGTGTAAAAGCAATTTATTTGGCTAGTTTTATCGGTTTAGACATTGGACACGGGATTTAGGAATTCCAGACTGTTTTTATGACCCATTCGACGTTTGGTTGACTTTTTACTTGAAGGGATTATTGAGCTGCAATATAGACTGCAGGTTCGAAATTTGGAGGTATATAGGGTTCCAAATGCTACAGTAGAAAACTATTGAGCTGTCGGAAGGTTAGGAAGGATAACAGAATGTTAGAAATGGGGGTGGCTATGTAGTTACCAATTGTTATTTGCTCGAGTTTTGGACTACCATTCATAAGTTAGAAGTTCACAAGTCCATAAAATATAGGATTTTTGTAGGAGAGTAAAGTCATGGACAGCTGAATGAAAATGCTATGCCCTGACGTCTCATTTGAACGAAGGAGAAGCCAGAAAATTCGTTTTTAAAGGAGAAAGTCTTACAAGAAAAATGATAAAGTAAATTATGACCTGTTCTTCGTTTAACATTTTTAAGTCGACGCATTTCAGCTTATCAGTTATGAAATGAAAGGATTTTTTTGAACATTCAAACATGCAGTCAAGAAGACGCCCCAGAAGTATGTGTAACAACTAATTTTGTCCGCTTTTTCATCAATTTGTGTAAAGGGACTGACCCTATGGGTAGGGGGTAATACACGTAATACACTAAAATAAAAAAATTGGAATAAAATTATGGCCTAACCCTAACCTGGTACACATACTACAGGACAACAGGAGTACCGTCAAAAACCTTAAAGCCATTGCGACATTACATCACACATAACGACATCACTCTCATGCAAATTTAACAAGTCTTCTCTAATCCCGTCTCTGCGTTCCATATGTTGACTATAAATTGTTTGTTTAAAAAGATTTAACCGAGTTTTATTCGCGATAACACTAATTGCTGGCGTCATTCGTTTTGGCTTAAAGTGCGCGCATAGCAATTTAACAAAGATTCTTGTGGATTAGGACCGTTTCAGAATCGAACATTTAATTTTGTGATACACGGCCTTACGTTTTGGCTTACTGTAGTCACGATAATGATTTTGTTATATAAATATAGTGTTGTATACCAGGCGTGTGCAACCTTCAATACAGGCCAGATAGAAATAACTGGGTGAAACCTCGTGGGGTACCTTTATTTAACAAAGGCTATCTAGTAGTTGCAGGCACAACTTTTGCTTAATGATATTGTGAAATACCTTGTTTGCACAAGTTAGCTGTTGAGTGAGGCATTGTAAAGTCATAGGCATAGATAACACATTGAACCCAGGTATAGGCTTCGCAACTCAAAGACATTAGAATTACTCGCTCGTACGAAATTAAATTAAAATTCTTCACGGGCCACACAGCTTTCCTCGAGGGCTGCATTTGTCCCGCGGGCCGCAGGATGCAACCCCTGTTTTATACCAGTTTTCTAAATTCATTTTGCAGTCAGTCAAGGCAATTAGTACATTACTATAATAGATAATGTACTGTTAGGTAAATAGTAATAGATAAGCGAGATTAAATACATATTCTTTCTCTATGCTTTTGTGTGGATCCGTGTGTGTATGATGCTATGGTGCTGTAGAAAGAATGGAGATAATTATTCAAGAAATGCACACTAACACATATATATTTCTGTAAAGTTTGGTCGAGGGCTTACTCTACGTGAAACGTAATTGTGTGTGACACTTGACTTAGTGTTTTCGAACCTGAACTTAGTCCCGCGAGTCGATTTTGCGGCTTTCTACCCAGCGCTACATCCTTACATTGCAAAGCGATACATCACAAAAATATAATTAGCAAAGCGTGTAGCAAGATTTTTCAATCCTGTCAATATTTTTATTCAAATCGATATTCAACATCCATTATGGAACGTCCTTCCAGCACACTTGAAGATTGTCTGTTAGAATTTGTATCGATTTGTACTTATCTACTCATGCATAAAATGACGTAATAATGAGCCTACATCCCCTCAGGGATTCAATGATCTATGGTATCGGTCATTTGTTATAATGTACAGTTAGTTGTACATGTTGTATTGACGCGAGCGGGTCAGAAGGGCAATTATATTAGATCACGGATTTTTTTCGTCAAGCATGCGCGGACTGATAGTTAGAATGAGTATATGAAGTGGGATTAATGGTATGTTCTGGGTTTGAATATACACAGTGTCCAAACATTTCGCCTAATTATTATAGTATTAACAATTAAAAAATTTTTGTCTTTGTTTATTAATAGTTCTTGTTGTGCTTGTAGTTCTCATTTATCATATAATAAAATTTACAAAACTTACAAATATTAATACTATAAAATTGGCTAATTTTTGGACAACCTGTATATCACTTTAGGCAAATGATTATAGTAAGCTTTGATAATCAGATTCGTGAGAGCAATTATATAGAAGAAAACCTTTTTTTGCAAAAACCTGGAATACGGAAACTAAATTGAAGCATCGTTATTGTAAAAACTTGAGTTAGATCTGGGTTGTGATAGATGAGTTGTGTGAAGTTGTATTAAGATTTAAAAGTCGAGATTCTCAATTGTATGATTTGGGTTAGAATATATATAATAAAACTTAAAGCTAAATGGTTGGAAAACTTTTTGAAAATCGAAGTTTTTATACTCGTTTTTAGCCTTCTCCGCAGCGTAGATAGACAGAATACTTTATAAGAATATAGTATACATAGAACATCTCATACAAGCCGGCTTTTTCAGTGACTACTTTTATAGGGCCTTGCTCAACGTATGGATATAAAATATTTTATAAATGCATCTGTAAATGGAGGGCTTATTCAGTGGCTTTTTTATGGACCGGGGCGTTTTGCCCAGCGTATTTATCAAATAACTTATATTTATATTGTATGTATATAATATTTCTCGAAGACCCGTTTTTTCTTGTCGGCGACAAATCTGTCTCAAAACTCCAGGAAACCAATATTCAAATCATTTATGGTTTTACAAATCGACCTTCGAATCAATCTTCTGTATAAACCTATATGTCAATTAACATTTTCTTTCAAGTATACCGTTCAAACAATTATATAGTAATTTCTTCTTAATTAAGTGAGGCTTCGAAGTCGGTACTCCCGTAGTATACGATCGTATGCACCAGATTAGGGTTAGGCCTTAATTTCATTCCGATTTTCCTTTTTTTAGATTCATTATGAGTTCGAGAAATGTCTGTGTTAGCCAAGTGAATATACCCCCTGCTCATAGATTTCAGTCCCGTAATACAACTCGATGTAAAGTAGGCGAACAAAATTAGTTATCTTCATATTGGCACACTTCTGAAGGCTCCGAAGTCTGCATTAGTATTCCAAAAAGGTTGCGAATTTTGTAAGTTTTGAGCAGAATACAAGGTTATTGGGACAATGTTTAATGCAACTTAAAAACACCTTGCAAAAATCAGAGCTGTCAAGACCTCAACTCGTATTTTTAACCTGTGACAAAAATATAGCCAGGTATTCAGAGTAATTTTAAAGAGTCTGCATTAGTATTTTGTAGATTTATGAATTTGAGAAATCTGCGAAATCAGACAATGGAGTGAGGAACATAGTGAAGAAATTGAAAAAAAAATACCATTATATATTGAACCGTTTAGAGCAGCGTGACGATATTCGCGGACCGAGAGAATGGAACGCCCGCAAAAGGCCGATACTGGTACCGGTACGTATATTTGAGATGCCGGTATACTGCAATTGTTACAAATATGCACATGCTTAAACTGTGATGATGACGTAACAATTGGCACACTAGAACGCACAAAAAAAAACAAAGTGATAAACTATTTTACTTAAGTTCGGTGGGCAATATTAAATCGTTACGCGACCCGTAATTGGTCCGCGGGTCGCGGTTTGGAGACCACTATTCTAAAACAAAGCCAATATCGGTAAAACTCGCTTTTCTCAGATAATTTCAAATTTTGTCCGACGAAATAATAAACGCATATAGAATATTTCTATGAATCTCCAAATTTTAATAAATCTTCGTTATGATAAACCCTTTCCAATTTATATCGAAAGATAATTCATTTCACGGGTATTCCTAAAAGTATAATTAAAAGAACAAGCGTTTTAAGTAGCACCTTGCTAATTGAGCAATTAACATTCGCGTGCTAACGATGTAATTTTCGTTGTCTTTAATTAACATATGGACCCGTTGAAAGGGAGATGGCGACTTTTTAGAAATCGATGTTTATATTGATATTGTTTATTGTTTGATAGTTTTTTGGTTTAAAATCTTAAAATTTTGTGTATTTTATTATAATTTTCTTTACACTCGAGGTGTTTGCGGTGGTAATTAGTAAAGCTAGGTAAGTTGATCTACCGTCTAATTCATTTACTATTTTACATTTCCAGGAAATAGATAAATAATAAATGATATAAGGTCGATAGTTATTGATGAAGAAAATTAATAAATGGTAATTGTGATCACGTGATATACAGAATGAAAAAGAATACAAAATGGATTTTACAACTGTTTATCTTGGGAATATGTTGGGCCCATGTCAAATGTGAGTACAAATACTTTTATAGTTTTAACTATATAGACATGACATGGGCGAAATCCGGCTCGTTGAGTAATTCATTATTGCCCGCCTGATGTGGCCACACCTGATGACCTGATGCGGCCACAAACTTCGGTGTCTTAGCTTGAATTATAGACAGTACAAATTTTGATGAAAAGTTAGGGGGCGTGGCTCAGAAACCCAATCCATCCAATCACAAATCAGTATTATATGAAAATTTGGCAATAGGCGTGGTTATATGCTCCCAATTCCTGTTTGAATAGTCTTCTTCTTAAAAGGCATGTTGAGATGTCATATATACAGCGGGTTAGGATATTGATGGATATATGGTCATATACTCAATTTGAATGGCTTTCTTTGTAGAGGGTGAATGGGATTATACATTGGAAGTAGGTTAGGAATAGGGATAGGTATATAGTCGCCATTCCCATTTGAATGGCCATATCTGAACTGACCAATTTATAATACCATGCAACTTGTGTATATCGCATTTCCATCAACAAATGTCCCATTCCTTCACAATACTATTCCCTAATTAATTCCTCGAAGAAGTTTTTTGAAGACAACATAATCTTAATTAAAATGTATTCATTCTATTTTTTGCCTTTATTTGAAAAAAAATGTTCTATCTTGGAAGCCACGGCACGGACGTTGCTCGGTAACCCCTAATTTTACTTACAAAATGTTTTGTAAAATTTATATTAATTAAGTTCTTTTGAACAAAATCTGTTCAAATATCAAATATAGAAAAGTAAATATATAAATGAAATCAAAGATGGCGCCGTTGGTGAGATATTATAGGAATGAAATTAAGCGAATACACAAAGCCATTTCCCCATATGACGTCATATGGTGAATAATTTTCTGAATGAAGTTAAGCAAATACATAAAACAATTCAACCTATGACGTCATATGGGGGAACACTATATGAATGAAATTGAGCAAATATATAAACCGTTTCACCATATGACGTCATATGGTAAAAAATTATTTGAATGAAATTAAGCAAATACATAAAACAATTCAACCTATGACGTCATATGGTGGAACACTATATGAATAAAATTGAGCAAATATATAAACCGTTTCACCATATGACGTCATATGGCAGTGCTCTTCAACAGGGGTTCCGCAATGCATGCATTGGGGTTCTGTCAGTTTATAGGGTTCCTTAGCGGTTCCGCGTTTTTTTAGGGGGAATCATTTCTTGCTTCAGCATGTTGATGCGTCGTTGCGAAGTTGTTTAAAAAGTGTAGACATGAGTATGAGAATTCAAGAAGATTGCAAAGAAAATACAAAAACAACCTAGTCATTTAATTTCACGCTTGTTACTATCTTTCTGTTTCGTTGTTGAATTACAAATATTTCGTGTTACGAGTATTTCGTGTTTTATTTTAATGTTGTTAATTGGGGTTCCATAAAAATTGAAAAGTTATATCAGGGGTTCCACAATAACAAAAAGATTGAAGAGCACTGTCATATTGTGAAAATTATATCAATAAATTAACAGAATGCAATAAATTGAAGCAGATACGTAAACCAGCTTCGGAAAACGCACATTGCACTTAAATAAACGTTAGTTTAGTGATTTTTTAGACAAGTCTGCTCAAAACTAGGCCTCGGGCAAGCTATACTGGCTCGTTACTTATTTTTTTAAATGATAGGCAAGCCGGGTAGAATTACAAAAAATTTAATGCTTTACAATATCAGCAGAATTTTTTTTCTTCGAAAAATATAAAATGTTTTGAGCAAATTTTAAATAACCATATTTTAGTTCTTGAGGTTTTTTGACCTTAAAGTCGACCCATATAAAATATTTAACAGTTTCAGTTTGTGCATAGTTTCCACATTCAGAAACCCGAGATAAAATCTTCGAACATGTTAAACAATAAAATATTTAAGAGCAGGTAGCTGGATATAGCTTTGTGGCGTTTTAAAAATTTATTTATTGTATAGAAAACTGTAAATATTCTTTAGGAAACTAAACAAAATAATAGCAAAGAAATACAAAAATTGTAATTGAGAAATCATGATATTTTCCATTAGCTTAGCCTATCGGAATGTTTTTTTGAGAATTGTATCTTATTTTTGATTTATGTATTGTCCTTCTTCGGACCAAGCCCGGCAAACGGGGGTATTGCCGCCATCTTAACTTGCTATGCGAACATAGTTATGCCCGATGCTTTACTCGCTGGGGCCCTGACATAGTCAAACTATGGCTCTCGGGCTCTCTATTTATTGTATAGAAAACTGTAAATATTCTTTAGGAAACTAAACAAAATAATAGCAAAGAAATACAAAAATTGTAATTGAGAAATCATGATATTTTCCATTAGCTTAGCCTATCGGAATGTTTTTTTGAGAATTGTATCTTATTTTTGATTTATGTATTGTCCTTCTTCGGACCAAGCCCGGCAAACGGGGGTATTGCCGCCATCTTAACTTGCTATGCGAACATAGTTATGCCCGATGCTTTACTCGCTGGGGCCCTGACATAGTCAAACTATGGCTCTCGGGCTCTCTATTTATTGTATAGAAAACTGTAAATATTCTTAAGGAAACTAAACAAAATAATAGCAAAGAAATACAAAAATTGTAATTGAGAAATCATGACATTTTCCATTAGCTTAGCCCATCGGAATGTTTTTTTGAGAATTGTATCTTATTTTTGATTTATGTATGGTCCTTCTTCAGACCAAGCCCGGCAAACAGGGGGGTGTTGCCGCCATCTTAACTTGCTATGCGAACATAGTTATGCCCGATGCTTTACTCGCTGGGGCCCTGACATAGTCAAACTATGGCTCTCGGGCCCAATTTGGCCCGTTGAGTAATTCAATTTCGGCCGTCGGATGTTGCCACAACCAAACTAAAACCATTGTAACTCTTTGCGTCACACTTACATGGCATGCCAGTTTAGGTGAGCAAAAGTTTTGGCTCCCGTTCCAGAAGCCTTTTGCCCTTCTGCGCTAGGCCACCGTTCCAGTACTTTGAAATTCAAATTGATCCGAAAATCTTGTTGCAAAAACAGTCAGAACTATATTTTCGTTATTGCGCGGCAAGATTCTTGAATCACTTAGAATGGGACTCTAACCCTATTTATTTAGGTTGTTACAGGAAAGAACAGTTTTCAAAAAGTCGCCTAATTTCGATTTTCGGATTCTCCATTTAAATTGGACATCTTTAAAATTCAATATTTCATATTTACATTAGTTAACAAATATGAATGTGGATCGATTGTATAATTTGTTCACTCATCCATAAAATGCAGAATTAATTCTGTCATTCCCGGATGAGATAGGATACGTATTTTAATTTAATACGTCCGCCATTAAGCAAATGAACTGTACGCCCTAATTGTGCGATTATAATATAGGTAACATTAATATTATAATTCTAAAGTTGAAGACTTTGCGTTTAAATCCTGGCTTTCTTGAGCACAGAAAGTGCTGGAAAGTTTCTAACAAACTCGAAACCAAGCCAAGATAGGGAATATATAGTATTTCGATATTTGTACTTGTTTTTGGTCTATTGGCCAGAGCAATGGACATCGCTATAAAATATCCAGCTGGAAAGAGTCTAGGCCTGATGTAACAGGAGCATTGGCTAAAATACACCGTTCATTCCATGTAAAATAGTAAAATGTTTTTATTATTTTCCCTAATAAAGTTTGCACGAATAAAATCGTCGAAACGCTTTACTATGAATCAGACTGGTAACAACGCAATTCATTGTCTTAAAGTTGGCAACATTTAAAACATTTTCCTATACCAAGCACCGAAGCTTTGTTTTTTAGGCGTGATAAATATTTCATACTCGCTAGTTAATGAAAGTTTGACGCCGTTAGAATTGGTCAATATTTGATTTAGGTCTCGTAAATAACAAAGAGTGAATAAGGTCGTTCACACGATTCATTTTACGGCACAATAATTCCAAGAAAATTGCGAGTTGTGTCTTGATCCAATATTTCAGTTCTAACCTGCGTTTTAAATCACTACGCAAAGCAAATATAGGGTTGGGCCTTGGGGGTTTGGGGGGACCCCTTTTTTAATTCTAAAAAAAAATCATAATCCTATATCATACATAGCAATTTTTTGCAGCTTGAAACGCTTTTTAGAAAGATTATTGACTCTAAAAAATCCACGTTTTCAGGTCTTCTGCCGGACCCGCTAGCAGTTACGATCTAAAACAGGAGTGTGCAATATTTTTTGTCCGCGGGCCATTTAACCAACTTCTGACATCTAGCCGGGCCATTCAAAAAATTCAATATCTTTCGGGTACACAATAAATTGAAAAAATTTCACCACAAAAAGGCTATATAGCTTAGTCTTACAGTAATAAAGGCAAAAGGCCTTAAAATTCTGGATTTTCACCCGTGTATGCGCTTTTTTAAACATAAACTGCCAGGGTAAAATTTGATGGTTAGTGGGAAAATATCTGAGTGTTGACAAGGGCCACACTTATTGTCTTGACGGGCCGGGTTGTGACCCGCGGGCCGCCTGTTCCCCCCACTGGTCTAAAACTTTCAGACCCCCCTTTGAAAATCCTTGGCTACACCCCTGAAAACACGTTTAGTTGCACTACCATGTTCCTAATTGTTTTGAGCCAATGTTGACAACGATTCGGGGATGGCTGACAACCCCTGCTAATGCCGTAAACATTTCCGACATTTTCTTTATTTTTTGCAGTTTTATTTCGTTGAATTTTCATTAGGAATTACTAATTAGTCTGCGAAGATAATCAATACGAATTGAAAATATAAACTAAAATTAAAAAATTTAATTTCAATCATTTTGGATGGCTCTGAATAAAAAATTTGCTGTTTTAAAATATTCTGGGGAGTTTCATTCCAATAATATAACATTCAGTTTGTTGCATATATGGATAAAGTATGATTATGACATATGTGCCCAATCTCGCCAAGCATCAGTAGGAAATGCCGAATCGGGATAATTCCAATCGTATCAAAATAGAAGTAACTCTTTGC